CCAGAGCCACAGGGGTGGCTGCTGTGGGTCTCGTGGTCCTGGCACAAGAGTGCTCTCGGGGAATGGTCGCCAGGGTGCCCCTACTGAGCCACTGTCTGCTGTCTGTCCACGTGCCCACTCGGGGTTGGCACGGCCCCCATCTCTCTCCCTGTGCCCTGAGAGTCCTACATATGGTGCCCGGTTTTCCTTCTCAGGTGCTCGTGGGCCTTGCTTTGAAATTAATTACTGAGGCCATTCGTCCACGAACCAAGTTAACAGCAATGGAAGAGTTGCATTGTTTGCCTGAATTGCAGAGAGGTGTGATTGTGTTTTTAGTCTTTGTACTTTGTGTTCTTGGAAAGCCTCTCACACTCTCTCTTGGTAATCCGTGTCCTTGGGGGACTTAGGGGAAGGCAAGAGGACCAGAGGGAGGTGACACACATCGCCCCAAGTGCTAGTAACATTGTCCCTGATAAACTAACTGTGGTTTATTATCCCTGTAGATTCCTGTTCATTTCTCTGTAATTCTTATTTTTGGCTTGAAGTGAGCAAGAAAGTAGTCACAGTACAGCTGACCTAGGCAAGGGGATTGCTCAGTGCAGGCTCACCGGAAAACAGGGCCACTGCACAGGATCCCACCGTGGGTTTTAACCCCTTGTTCCTGAGTATTCCTGGAACCAGAGCTCAGCAGAATCCACAGCCACCTTTGTGTCCCACTGAGCAAGCAAACTCTGTGCTATCAGAAGGAGGTGCTGGGGAACATGATAGAATTTTTCACACTCTGCAAAACCTTAACCAGTTTCAAGGCTTGATTGTTTTTTTTTTTTTTTTAGCCTGCCTGGGGATTGCACCCTGGGCCTTTCCATTGAACTACTATATCCCTAGTTGCTAAATTTCCTGGGTTGGACTTGAACTTGTGATCCTCGAGCCTCACCCTCTCAAAGTGATGGGATGACAGGTGTGGGCCAGTGTTGGCTTTGGGGACATCTAGTACAGGAAGTGGAAGAGGTGCTGTGAGACACAGGGACAGGGAGGGCGGGCTCTCTGCCAGTGCCATGCTGGGCTGCCCTGTCCGTCTGTGCAGAACCAGTTCTGGTCACGCACACCCAGTGCGCAGGAGTTGGGCACCATCTGGCTTGCCTGCTGGGCCACAAGGAGGTGGTGAAGCAGCTGGGCCCGGGCATGTGTCCCCACTGGATTCACCATGCTTCTCTCTTGTCCAGAGAGGGTTTTCCAAAAGAGGAACATGTCTGTGTTTTTCAAATCGGAGCACATATTTTCTCTGCACTGTAATGAAGTCCTTAAATTTCCTGGAAAAATGCGTGGTTCTGCATATGTGCAGTTTTGGAAGTAGCGAGGTTAGGTAGGAGCCTAGAGGCCCACTGGGTCTTAGGCCGTTCATCGGGACCAGGGGGATGTTGATGGTGTCAGCAGAGAATGACGGGAACTGAGGAGTGTTAAGGAAGTCCAGGCCACGAAAACAAAAGGCTCTCCTGGGAGTGAAAAAACCCCTGGCTCCTTTGTATTTGTTTTTGTTTTGCTTCGGTTCTTGGCCTTGGTCCAGGGTCTGTTCTCTCTGTCAGTGTCAGTGTGTATCTGTGTTCCATTGGTCTTGTCCCCAAGACATGTTCGGCAGGAGGTGGCCCTGGCAGCTGGAAGCTCCGTTGGCTGCCTGTGCCCGCTCTGCCTCCTCGGCGGCCAAGAGAGCAGCTGTGCTCCTGAGAGGACAGGGCCGGGACTTCGGGGTGCCCAAGGCCTGTGCGTGAGGACACTGTCCTGAGACACCACCAGCTCAGCTGCCTCTGCCCACCAGTAGGAGGGGCCGGTGTGGCGTCCTGGCGCGGTGCAGCGGGAGGTCAGGCAGTGCAGCTGGACCCGGCATGCCTCGTGTTGGCCTGTGCTGTTTTCCCGGGGTCTGGTTTTTCCGCCTCTGTCAGATCTGTTTGCCGGCCCGCTGCCAGAGAAAGGTTCAGGAAGGTTCGGGCCGCTGGCTTCCTTTGTCGCAGAGTTGGGTGGGGGCCGGTAGGAAGTGGGAGGAGGGCCCAGGTGGGGTGTCGGGCGGAGTCGTCGTGCTGCAGTTCTAGAGTGGGCGCCCTTGTGGCAGCGCCTGGCATCCCCTGCAGGGCCTGGTACCTCGGAGGCAGCTGCTGGCCCGCGGCCTGCTCACCTGGAGTGCAGCAGCCCTCGTGTCCTTGTACCCCTACCCACGGCCATCGTGCTCTACACCCACCCTGGAGTTCAGGGCACAGCACTCCCTCTCCAACTGAAAGTCTGAAAAGCCCTTAAGGCCTGGGGCGGAGCTTGGTGACAGCACTGGCCCAGCGTGCGTGGGCACTGGGCTCTCCTACCCAGCATCATGACCAGACCGTCCGTCAGCTCCAGCACCTCGATAAATAAGGAAGCTTCACTGTAGTAAAATACAGCGTGGACAGCAGAACCCTGCTAGACACCCGTGAGGCTTGTGCCTGCGGTTTTCTCTTCCCTTCCCTGCTGCTGAGCACACAAGGCCTCTGGCCCCAGTCCCGTTGTTAGGCAAGGGACGGTTCTGGGGTTCGGGCCCCCCGGACTCACTTTCTTAAATTCTGCATGGTAATGTGCTGCGCCTGTGTCAGGTGCCCCAGGTTGGGTCTGACAGTGGGGCCTCGGTGTTTTCCTTCAACGTCTGGTGTTTTGGTCGCTTTTGTCTGTAAACCAGAGCTGAGTGTTTGTTTATTTTCAGTGGAGAAAGTGCCCTCCAGTGTTCAGTGTCTGATTTTCCAGCCCTTTCTGTCCTTGTCTTCCCATCACTTCATGCCTCCTAATCTAGGCTTCTTCGAGAGCCTAGTGGTCTGATAGGCGGGGTCTCGGGTGGGGCCCTTGCGTGGCACGGCCAGCACCATACATAGACAAGCGTAGCCGGGAGCAGCAGGGCCGTGTTAGTGAGAAATGATGCAGCGCGTTCGCCTGCCTCGCCCTGGGGATCCCCATGGCTCTGAGTGTCCGGCAGCCGCGCAGGAAGTTTCCATTTGATCCTCGGGCTGGAGGCAGTCAATCGACCGACAGCGTTTACGGCATCATCTTCCCCTCTTTCTTCCCAGGTGGGGATTTGAGGGGACCCGGGGTGCTTTCTGTACCTGAGGGCTGCCACCTGTGGCTTTGGAGTCGGCCGGCCATGTGCAGCTGTCCCGATGTTTCGCAGGGCTGTCCCTGTTCCTCGGGCAAGGTGACCCTGTACGTGTTGCTGTACCTGAGTTCAGAGTGAGGCAGGTGGGCCAGCCAGCCCGGACTGGGCTCTGCCCCTCACTGTGTGACGCAGTCTCCGAGGAAAGAGGCACCACACACTATTCCAGTATTTATATAATACGTCTTTGTTTAACGGAGCCTTGCTTAATTCATAGTGAGTATATTTGTCGAGATAAATTTAATCCTATGGTGTGGTGCATGTCTAACAATCAGCTGTGCAGTAAGGAAGTGAGCTTTTGCATCCTTGTTTTACTATTAAGGGTCAGTTAAAACACTATGTAAACGTTTACCTTTCCAAAAGTATAAAATATAAAGGCTACCAAAAGGAAAACAGCAAAATGAAAGTTGCCACTTGGGCCCCAAACCTAAGTCAGCAACTGGTAGGTTCTTAAACTTATAGAAAGTCTCAGCCTGGACACGCACGTGTGTATTTTCCACGTGTGCACACACATCGCACACCGCCGTGCAGTAGGACCCTGTGTGTCTCCGTTGTGTACCTCGCTCTCACCATGTCTGAGAGCTTTGGGTACTGGGGTGCTTTCTGTGTGTTGAGGCCCCAGTCATTTTCATTGGCTGGTTAGTGCTGACTGTGAATGTACCTGTTCACTTAACCAGGGTTGGGGTTTGCTAGAAGTGCAGCCTCGGGGAAGCGGAGCAGCTAGATGCTAGGCATGCGCGCTGGGGAAAACCCTGGTCATTTACCTTACGTTGTCTTGTGCCGTCCCGTGCCACTGCGGGTTTACGTTCTCATTGTCTGAAAGGGCAGACATTGGCTTTGCCACCTCAACAGTGGTGTGGTTAAGCAGCAGGGTTAGTTGGCATCTGTTTCCGCCAACTGGGTGTCAGGCTGGGCTCCCGCGGTCCAGGCCCCGCAGCTTAGTGTGAGTGAGGTACTGCGTGGCTGGCTGAAGGCTGGACGTCCCGTTGCTTGAGAATAGCACCCGATGTCAGCCTCCACCGTGTCTGCGTCAGCGTGGGAGAGTCCTGGGTGTCTCTGAGGCCGCCCTAGGGACCCGTCGCCCACCCCAACACTTCCTCAGGGCTCTGCTCCGAGCTCCTGCAGGCCAGCCTCTGCCAACCCGTCTGCCCGCCAGGCAGGTGCTTTATTCCCCAGAGCCAAGTGTCTCTGATGTCAGACACAGTCCTGCTGGCTGCCCTCGAGCTTTCTCGCCAGCCTTGCAAGAGTCTTCGTGGCTCCTTACTGCCAGCCAGTTCCTCCCAAGCCTCCCAGCAGCCCTTCCCTCCCACGAGGTCTCCTTCCCCACAGCACAGGCCCAGCAGCACCTGCTCCATAGTGTGGCTGCTCACCTGGCCTGCCTGGCTGCTCAGACGTGCCTCTTCCGGGTGGGACACTTCCAGTTTCAGGACACTGGCAATTTTAGCACACTGAAAAAGAAAACGAAAGTTGACTGATTCAGAGACAGTTCCAAGAGAGCCAGGAGCCTCCTGGAGTGTCACGCCTGGGGCGGGCCGTCAGGGTGGTCTTGGTTTCTGCTCTGGACACTAGGAAGACCTACCTGCAGCTGAGGGGGAGATGGGAAGGTGCCAGAGCCCGCAGAGTAGCTGGCCCTGGGCTGTGTTACAGACCACAGGTGTGGGCCCCAGTGCCTTCTGCCTCCTGGCTGAGCCACTCAAACTTGTGCGAGTCGGGGCCTCCCTCGAGGGTGTGGAGTAACCCAGAAGGGCCAGGCTGCACCACCTTCTGTGTGCCTCCCATTGACAATGGCTCGGTGGGGCATTGAATTTGCTCTCGAGTGAGTCATAATGTGTAACTTTGCTTTCTCTCTCCTCTTTTGCAGATGCTTTCGTGAACAGCCAGGAATGGACGTTGAGTCGATCGGTGCCAGAGCTCAAAGTGGTGAGTGGCTCCTTCTGGCCTCGGGGCTTTATCCCCGACCGTGGAAAGAAAGGGGCTCCACAGGGTGGCATGGAGCCCACCCAGGGTGAGCTCCAACCCTGGGGCCCAGAGGTGGGGCGTGCATTGGGGTGTGTCCCGGGAAGGGCCAGGTGGCCCTGGTGATGGGAGGCTGGAGCCCTGAGTGTACCTGCCACAACCCCAACAGCTGTCACTCATGTTCTGGGTGCAGCGCAGGGCCATTAGCACCTCCTCTCTCCTGTCCCTGCTCTCACATGTGCGCACACCGTGGTAGATTTATCTGTCCTCGGCAGGGTATCCTGAGGATTTCTGTAATGAGCCTGCAAGCTTTGCTATTCATAGCTCTTAAAACTCGACTTTATTATGAAATATTGGCATAAAATTAAAGAGTTCTGTGTTTTTATGTAAACTTTACCCCTTCATTACAGTTAAAGGTTAGATTGCTGCGATGAAATACCTGAGAATGTTAACTTAGATGAGGAAGGGTTTATGTTGGCTGATGGTTTCAGGGGTATCAGTCCATGGTCACCTGGTTCTGTTGCTGTGGCCTGAGGAGAAGCAGGACATGGTACTATGAGCAAAGCCTCAAAGGAGAAAGAGAAAGAGAAGAAGGGGCTGGGGACCAGATATAGTGTCCAACTATGTAGTGTCCTGTGATCCACTCCTTTCCATGAGGCCCTGTCTCTCCAACACCTACCAATAATGCCATCAGATTCTGATCCCATTGGCAGATTGATCCAGTGATGAAGTGAGATCTGTCTCTAGAAGCATCCACAGGCATACCCAGAAGTGTGCTTGACTGATTTCCTAGGCATTTCTCTACCCAATCAAGTTGACAGTCAAGATGAGCCAGCATGGTTGGCTTACATGGAAGAGACCTGAGACGGTCACCTCCTGGAGCCTGCCCCGCCTACGTCCCACGCCTCAGAATAGAAGGAAGGGCCAAGTCCGCTTTTTAAATAATTGTTATGGCTTGTGTCCAGATGTCCCCCAAAGCCTCATGCAGTCATAGATGGGGCTTTTCAGAGGTGGCTGGATCTAGAGCATGTGGTGCTGGGATCAAGGGTGTGTGATTGCTAAATCAGTCCACTGATGGTTTGGCACCGCCCCAATCCCAGTAGCCCAGGTAGAATATAAAAAAGGCAGAAAAAAGCTGCTAAAGCCCCTTGCTTGCTTTTGCCTGTCTGCTTACCACTGACTCTTTCTCCTCTGTGATGCCCCTCTGCCATTCCACCTTGCCTCGGAGCCAGCCAGCTGTGGAGTGAAACCTCTGAGAACTGTGACCCAATAGGCCTTTCCTCCTTTCACTTTGGGTGTCGGGTATTTTGTCTCTGATGAGAAAAGTAACTAAGAGATGCAGGGCCCGTGGGTTTGCATGTGTACACACGCATACCACAACCTGTCCAGGGTGAGTTCTGACCTCGGAGGGAGGGCTGCTAGGTTCTTGCTGGACAGCGGACTATGGTGGGCTGAGTCACTGATGTGGCTCCGGCTGTGCCTTCTCTGTCTGCTGCATTTGCTGTTCCTCCCAAGCCCCTGGCCTTTCTTCTCACTGACCACAACTGCAGTGGGTGGGGCAGGGTTGGGACAGGGCCCTTCAGGGTGCTTGGTCTCAAAAAGGGATCGCAGCGATAGACTTCCAGGGCTTGGAGGAGAGCCTCTAGGAGTTGTTGGCAGGAAAAATGCATGCTTTCAAACTGAAGAAATAAAGACCAGTGCGTAGGAGATGCCTGAGCCTAGAAGCTGTGTGTCCTTCTCCTGACCCCCTGCTGTCCCTGGGTGGGATCCTTGTGGTTCTTCTCCTCTTCCCTTCCTACCTTTTTCTGTAGCACCTGCCAGTGGGTGTCTTTCCTCACAAGAGACACTGTCCTTGATGAAGGGTCTGAGTTAGAAACCTGGGTTTGATAGAACTGGCTTCCAAACATCCACATGCTCTGTCATCTGTGTGCTTTGTCACTGCCATCCCTGGCACAGTATTAAACCATGGGGTTTCCCAAATACCTGTCCAGTGATGGACGTGAGATTGGTGATGATACTCTCAGGAACTTACAGAGACATGGGCCGGTTTCAGATACACCCTGTTAGGACAGCCCAAGTATGCAAGGGGCCGGACACAGCGAGTTACTGACCATGGCAGTGTTTCTAAAGCGCTGGCTCTGCAGGCCACATTCTAACATGCTTCTCGGAATTATCTTCCTTAGTCCTGATAGCTGCCCGTGATGGGAACATACTGCTGTTGTCCCCATTTCATGGACAAGGAAAGTGAGGCTTGGGGCATGAGGAACTGGCTCGGGAAACTGCAGGCAGCAAGCAGTAGTACTGGGATTTAAGGCTGGAATCACTGCTTCTCCCTGGCCCTGCCCTATAGGAAGTCTCTGTGTCTACCCTGACTGACACTGTAGCCTCAGTCAGCCCCATGTGGCTGCTGAGGACTGAAATGTCCCTATTGTGACCGAGAACCTGAGTTTTAAGTTTTTCAGTTGAAACAACACAGGGGCCATGCTGTTATAGGCTGCTAGTCAGTTTCCCATTGCTGGACATCACATGCTCACAATTTAGGGGAGGCAAGTTCATTTAGGGTTTTGAGGGATTCAGCCTGTGGGGGGCTGGCTCCAAGCCCGGAACATCATGGTGGTTGGGCGTGATGGAGCAAAGCTACGTATTGTTTATGGTAGCCAAGGAGACGAGCAAGGGAACAGTTGCAGGAGAAGAACAGGCAAGGGACCAGCCTTAGACCCCAAGCCCATGTCTCCATGACCCCCATACAGGATTAATCATCATGCAGTCTGACTGTGACCATCAGGAAGGCACCGTCCTCCTGGAGCCCACCCAAGAGACCCATGTGTTCCCTTGGCAGTCCATGATTGAGAGCATTGGCTACCAAGACCCTGGTTTTCTGCTGGGCTTTCCAGAGCCTGTGACTGTCAAGAGAATGGGCCCTGGGCACAGGGGAGGGTGCACAGGGCGTGCTCAGCGTGGGGCCGAGTTCATCTCCAGGGTTCAGCTTTCTCAGGACTCGAGTTCACTATCTGTCTGGACCACGTACTTATCCATGGTTGCAGGAGGAGTCCCAGCCCCTGATTCCCTGGCAGGACACTGGCTCTGCCATGGCCTCGGGCCTCCGTGGTGACATGAGCAGGCTGCACACCCTGCTGGGTCCCTCCCTGCACAGATCCCTCGTGTGCTGGAAAGACATGCCCTAGGAAGTGCTCTTTGTTCTGTCAGGCAGCCTCTGAGTACCCTCAGGGCTGCCACTGTCTGTTGCCCTTGAGCAGCACCGAGACAGGTGGCTCCTACATCAACGCCTTCGGGACCCTGGCCCTGTTCCTCAGGCACAGCCATGAGATGATGTAAAGCAGCTCCCAGTGGGCTTTTTGTGTCATATTTTGTTGCGAATCTCCGGGACTCCGTCAGAGAACACAATTCAGTGCGTGTTTTCTTTCGAACAGCGATAGTACCGTCCCTGTGGGTTTCTGAAGTTGTGTTGTGGTCAGAACATCAGCGATCAGTTGGTTCTGGGGCCGCAGACCTGTGCCAGGCAGCACCGGCTTCATGCTTCTACCTGAGCAGAAAGCATGTGTAGACTGTAGCCCTCTTCCTGCAGAGGGGCCTTGGTCAGCAGCCTGCCAACTCCTGTTTGTGTGTTTCCCTTGAGCTCCCACCTGGGAGCTGGGTGAAAAGGCTCCATTTCCTTTTCAGCAAACTCGTGGTTACCAGGTAAGCGGGGAAGCGGGGAGCATCAGGGCCTTGCTTTTCCTTCCTGTGATGCAAGGGTGCCAAGCACATGGCTCGGACCATTCGGATCCTGCACATACAATGTGGGGTCAGAGCTGGTGACCTCCTTCCGCCTGGCACACAGCTCTGCCATTGCGAAGATACCGCAGTCCTCCCCACGAAGCTCTTTGGCCCAGGTGGGATTGGTTCCCTGCTCCGGCTAACGTCCAGCAGCAGGGCCTCAGCTTCCCCGTGGAGCCTCAGAGCCTAATGAGCATTTCCCCCCACTCCTGTTTCCTCCTCACAGTCAGCTGTGGCTTTCTACTAGTTTCTAGTGAGAGTCGAACTGTAATGTCTGCGAGATGGCCACACCACCAAATACCACCACCCTTGAGGGATTAGCGTTGTCCTGCCGTAGGATGAGCCGGATCCTTGCCCATCAGCCCACAAAACAGTGGAGATCCTGCTCTTCCCAGAAAGCCAGGCTGAGCAGTGCTTGACTTGGAGCATTTTCTTCCTCAGGGTAGAGAAGCTAATCTTAATTAAAAATTTAATTCCGCGGCATATTGTTTCGGATTTCTCAGCATGAAGCTGACAAGGAGCATGTGCCCTTGAGCAGGAGAGTAATTGTTAGGTGGGTATACTCAAGTTACAGAGGGCACAGGTAAAAAGACAGAAGTTGAGTCTGGACGGGAACAGCTTTCATAGGCTCTGTCTTTGCTGTCTGGCTTTGCGCCTGCCTCTTGGCTGTGGAGCCGGGTGAGCTCTGCTCATTCCTTCACTTAGCCTGTGCTGTGGGCTGCAGAGTGAACGAGATGCAGACCTTGACCACAAGGAGTTGGCGACACAGCCATAGGAGCCAGCAGCTGAGGGAGTGTGGAGGGTCCCCGCTGTGGCTGTGGCATTAGGCAGGTGTTCTCGTCCATGTGGGCTGCTATAACGAGAGACCGTAAACTGGGAGGCTTACGAACAGCAAACTGTTTTCGCACGGTTCTGGAGGGTGATGAGTGGCGAGTTGAGAGTGTTGGATTCCTTCTCACCCCACAGGAGGATTACTAAGCTCATTGTTGGCCACACAGCGAACATGTGGTTTTGGTGATGTTTGGAATTACCGGATATTGTCACCTTTCTGTTTGCAGAATGCCAGACAGAGTGATTTCATGACCCTTAACGTTTGTCCATTTCTTTGCTGCAGGGGATTGTGGGTAACTTGGCCAGTGGCAAGTCGGCCCTGGTGCATCGATACCTGACGGGCACGTATGTCCAGGAGGAGTCTCCGGAAGGTAAGCTGCATGACAGGCAGTGAGGTGCAGCTTAGGAGAGTTCAGGCTTTTAAATTTTTCATTAGCATATTCTGAATCATTGCTTTGATGTATCATATGCCAAGAAAGTAATGAAACATACCAAGCAGTAAAAATCCGTAAGTGTATTGTTCTTCTGTAGGAATTTTAGCAAACCAGTTATATTCGCCCTGGCATTTGGAACGATACAGTGGAACCATGAAGTGCTATTGAATTTATTTCCTGTCTAATGGTTCTGTCCTTTCCAATGTTAGTCCACTGTTCCTCCTAAATATTGGTTGGATGTTTCCCTGATTGCATATTGAGTTTATACACAATGTTTCTTAGCCACAGATAGCAGCTATTTTAGACAAGACTATCAGATTATCACCACCATATGTTTGAGTGTGTTTCCCTTTTATATTGTATTATGAACATTTAATAATCATTTTGCATGTGAGTTAGGTATTTCTTTTGCCATTAGACATTTGCTTCTTCCGTTAACATATCCACGCTTTATTTTTTGCTTTAAATATAATTATAATAATGGTAGGAAGCCATGTAGCTCCTTAGTCAAGGTGTAGTTCACAGGCAGTTTTCTAAATTATATTTTCTCTCCATGTAACCTTTTCAATCCAACTCTGAGACACTGAATTTCTGGTTCCTTCCTTTTCTTACTGGCTGTTCCATTCTTTGCAGATATGGATGCAGGTAACTATACATTTTCTTCATGGCAGCGCTTGTCTTGTTTTGGAGAGAGAGGAGAGACACAACTCTGTACCGTAGCATTCCCTTCCCTCCCTGTTCTGTGTCTCATCCTGTTTTGTTTCATTTTTACCTTTTTTTTTAAGTTCACCATTCCACCCTGTTTTGTCCCTTAGATGTCTTTTGAGCAGTAGTTGTTAGTAGTTTCATGTGTCCCCTGTAACACATGTTCTAGTACTTAACGCTTGCCCTCGCGACTGTGGAACCATTCATAGAGAAGAGAATTCCGAGGGGCTCTGCCCAGGGCCCCCACATGCTGCAGAATTTGACAGTCGTGTGATGCCAGCTCATGGCAGTCGCATCAGGGAAAGGCCCACTTTTTAAATTCTCCTCGTGGAAGATGGCTTAGGTAGGCGAGAGAGTGGGAACAAAGTCTCGCATGTGGGGCAACAGGGAAAGCTAGGCTGCCGACGAGAATAGAAGCGGGATATGCAGAAGCCTTCCAGACCTGTCCCTGGGCCGGGAACGTGTGTTTATTTGTCCCTTGTGTCTCAGTGTGAGTGGTAGCCAGCCAACTTGATCATACCTGCACGCACGCTCTTGTCCAGCTGTTGCCTGAGGTTTTCACTGCTTCTTGGGGCTCACAGTTGGGCATGAAATGAAATCAACCCCTGAGGGTCTGCAGCTAAACCTACCGTGGGGAAAATGATACCTTTTCCAAGGAAATCTGCCTCCAATGCCCCGCACATCCCCTCCAGCTGCCACCTGGGGCTGCCGGAAGTTCCAGGTCTGGCCCTGCGTTTGTTGCTCTGGCCCAGGCCTCGGAGGCCTGGTAGGGGTCCCACTTGGAGGAAGAGCCAGGACCGCATCTTCCTTGGGAGCCCTTGCCTTGAGTTGCCTCTGGGCTGCTCTTGTGGCTTCTGCTCTTTCCCTTTGGGCATTGTGTTTCTCCCATCATATTTGTGTCACGCTGTGATTTCTCAGCTCTACATAATGGGCCCTTGTATTTTGTTTAACAAGGGGGCATTGATCTTGAGTATTTACACAAAACAGGAAAAACTGTACCCAGTAGGGTGACCTATGATCACCGACCACCCCACTTCTTCAATTTTTTTTTAAGTGACACCTTTCCCTGAGCTGGAATTTCAAAGTGTCACACACGGTTTTAAAAAATGCTTTTCTTCATCTACAGGCCGGGGTCTCATGCTGTCCAGGGGCCCGTGGCTACGGCCTCAGGGGTCTGGGAAGGGGTTGTCTGGGTTCTCTCCTTACTTACCCTGGCCATCTGACCTTTACTTCTTGACCCAGAGTTGTTTTGTGGGAGATTAAAACAGCACCATGTCTAGCTGCGCCCCAAGGGTTGCGTCAGGGCCTCAGGTACCCACGAGCCCTCAGCCCCTTGAACCTCCGATTTTCTGTAGCTGCCACCCATTCCTGTCTGGATGTAGGCAGGCAGCGACTGCCTTTGCTCCTCTTACTGCCAGCAGGAAGCTGACTTTCACTCCCTCTGAGTGTGACTCTGAGTCCTGTCACATGGCAGAGGGAGCTGGGGCTGGCCGTTTGAAAAGGAGATGAATGAGGAAAGCTGTGATTCTCTGTGCCTTCCTCTCATTATCCTGAGTCTCTCTGCTCAGGGAGTCGCCAGTGGGATGGGCTTCCAGTTCTCATCCCATGAGTTAACATAACGTCGCCTGTGCCTGCTTGAATTGACGTGTATGTTAGAATGTTCTGGGGTTGGGGTGTAGGTTACAGTGTTGTCACCCAGGTGTGCAGAGATGATGTCTTGGGTGCCGTCAGTCACGTTGGGTGTCCAGCAGCTAGTAGTCGAAGCTGATGACAGCTGACTGGGGGTGTGGCCAGGGTCTGCTGGAGCGCTAGACTTTGAATGAGCTGTCTGACCCCTCTGTTTCCTGGTATTACTTCTGGTTTGTCCTCTGTGTTGGGCGGTTTTCAGTTACTCTACCAAAACACCCGAGGCTGGAAACTTAGATCTATTTGGTTCACACAGTTTTGCAACTGAAAGTTCAAGGTCAGGTGGCCTCATTTGTTTGGTACCTGGTGGGGGCCTCATGTTGGATGCCATCAAGGCAGGAACACATGAAAGAGGGGTCACATGGTAAGACAGGAAGCCAGAGGGCTGGGTGGGGACTGTCCTGTTCTTTTACAGCAACCCTCAAGAGACCTAACTAGGGTCTTGGGATGGTGACATTAATCCCTTCTGAGGGTGCACTGCCAGCACCTAATTACATGCACTGAGCCCCACCTGGCAAAGATTCGGGGGGCAAGCTTCATGTACATGAACCTGTTGGGGACCCCTCAGACCACATCCACCCGCACCGTCCCCTGTGCTGCTTTAGGTATTCTGCTGAGTGCTTGCTAACCGTGCGTCTGATTGAACTGATGGGTAGACACCCTGCGTCCTGATTCTGACCCCTCCAGGGTGTTTGGCATGCTGGGGGCTGATGAGGTGGGGAAGAGCCATCACCTTGTAGGAACGCAGTGTGCAGAGCCTGCCACAGTCCCAGTGTCCTTTTCTCAGATGCATCCCAGCCTGCTCCCCCTGGGACCCCGCCTGGTAACTTCCTGGTGAAACTTTCTTCTTACAGGGAAGAGAGCTGATTCATAAGATTGTGACAATTTTAACAGCACTGTTCAAATGAGGGAAGGCTTTCAGGATTATGTTGCATATCATTTGTAATTAATTACTTAGTGCAGAAATGGGTATCTCAGCAGGGAATTTGTGATTCTGTGAAAGCAGGTCAAAGAGTGCTGTTTTGTATACAGGCAGCTATGTGTAGAGTGCGTGTGTGTGTGTGTGTGTGTGTGTGTCCACACGTGTAATGTATGATTGTGTTTCAGAGTCCATGGCCTTTGGGCTACCTCAGACTGGATGGTTTACAATAGTTTATTCTCTCCCACTTCTAGAGGCCAGAAATCCAAAATGAAGTTCTCACCAGGATCGGTCGCTTCTGGCGGCCCTGGGAGGAGAATCTGGTGCTGGTGCTCCAGGCCTCTGACGGCCCCTGCCGTCCTTGATGTCCTTGAGTTGTAAACTCAAACCCCCAGCCCTGCCTCAGGCCGCACTGTGCTTTTCCTTGCGTCTCTGCAGCCACCAACCTCCCTTTTCTTAGGGACGCGAGTCGTGGGAGCTGCAGCCCACCCTGTGCCAGTGTGACTTCCTTTGCAGCAGTCACAGCTCTGAAGAGCCTGTTTCGAAATGAGGTCACACCTCAGGTGCCAGGGCCAGGGTCTGAGTGTGTCTGTTCAGGGACACAGGTCAGCCCGGGCAGTGCCCTGTTCCGTGATGTTGTTTCAGGTGAGCAGGAGTCTGCTCAGAACCCTCTTGGCTGGCCCAGCCCCACCCAGTCCTGCTCTCCCTGGCCATGGGTTTCCCAGCACTGCTGACTGCAGACCCTCACAAGAACAGCACAGCTTCCCTGTGACCTTCCCAGCTCCGAGGGAAATTTCACAGCTGCCATTCACATCCCAGAAGGAGAATGGGGTGAAAACCGTGCTGTTACCAGGAGGGCTCTGGTCAGAGCTGCTCATTAGGGTTGTGATGACACCTTGGCGGAGTTACCCTGGCTTCCCCGCCGTGTGTAACGAGGGTGCACCTAGGCCACCTGCCCCGGCAGCACCCACCCCCCAGCCCCGTGCCACCTCTTGGTCTTTAACTCTCGCCTCAGAAAGGAAGTCAGAAGTGTCACATGGGAGCGCTGGGATGCAGCCTGCCCTGAGATGGCTGGCTTCTTGAAACTGGGGTGACACCCCCCGAGGTGGTGAGACCATCTTCCCCAGGACATCTCCCTGGGCCGGTCATGACCCCTGGCTCTGTGTGCCATGAGCTGTGTGGTTTATATCGGATGCTACCCCAGGGCCTCATCGCTCATATCCAAGCCCTTTGGGGTGGATCGTGGTTATCCACTACTGAGTTTATGGCTAGATGAGCCTGGCTGAAGGAGGGGGTCACTGAGGCGTGGCCTGAAAGGGCCTATTTCCCTAACTAGGTCCTTTCTTGACTCTGTGCTTCCTCTCCACCGTGCCATGAGCAGCCATGCCATCCTGCCTCGGAGCCAGCCAACCATGGACTAAACATGAGCCAGAATAAACCTTTCTGCCTTTAACATGTTCCTGTGGGCTTGAGCCACTAGTGTTACACTCATGGCTGTTCCATTGCGCGGCTTGTGCCACACAAGAGGACTGTCGCAGGCCACCTGAAGGGACAGTCAAGCATGTACCCCTGTGGTTCCGAGCCGCCTGGCAGTGAGACATATGAGTGACAGCCATTGTGAAGATGTTAATTTGCAGGTGTTGGGTATTGTGTCACAGTGGCCAGAAAAATGACTAAGACATGGGTCTCTACTTGGTTCTCCTGCGTGTCAGTGATTGAATCTTTAGTTTCTTGTTGGCTCTTAACCAGCTGTGAGATATTTGGACAGTAAACTGCAAGGCCATTGCAATGCTGAATCTGTCTAGGCCGATGGCCAGTGAGTGCCTGGCGAGAAGCCTGGTGGTGGGGACATGCCCCGGGAAGTCTGCACTGGGCCTGCTGCTCTCTGGTGGCCCATGCTCCAACCCGTTTCTGCTCTACCCATCTTCCACACATGTGCAGCGGCAGCCTGGAGCTCTGCCGGCCCCTGGTTTTCCTTCCCAGAAGTAGAAAGCAGTGCCTGATCTCTAGAAGTCTGGCCCTGTGCCATTTGTTTTTCCAATGGTACAGACTTAAAGGAAGGCTTGGAAGGATATAGGCAAAGAATCAGTGGCAGACCTACCATGGGGGGGGGGGCGCTTGCTAGAGTGTGGAGCGGGAGACAGCGTGCTTCCCAGGTGGAGGAGATACCTGGGTATTCTCCCATGGGAAGAGAGGAGTGTGGAACAGATGAGGGCAAATGAAGGAACTTGAATGTCCTGCAGGAAGGGCAAGTTAGGAACAAGTGTTAGGTGCTAAGAGTAATGACAGTTGCCAGGTAAGCATGGGTTGAGGACAGTCATCTCGTGTCCCCCTG